AGGTTGAATAAGATTATGGGGGAACCTAGAGACTTTGCGGGGAGAACTTTAGAGTGGAGTCTTTGATGGAGACCATAGGGAGCCATTGCAGGTTCTTGAGCAGAGGCCTGCCATGATATTTAACAGAAAGTAATTATTCTAGTGCCTTGAAAGCTAATGCTATTGAATCTGTTGGCTGTTTTTTGTTGTTGTTGCTGATTTTTTTTTTTTTTTTTGCTTGTTTGTGTTGTTCATATACTCCATCTCCTCTTCATTTGCTATTTACTGCTCATATCTGCTTCAGTATTTTACTTCTCACACCCACCTTTCTCGTACTTCCAGTTTCTAATAACATGTGAGGGCAGAACCAAGAGTGGGTTGGAACATTCACCTGGAACATGGAACCACTGCTGTTGGAGGACCTTGGAGAGACCAGGAAAGCAGGCTCCTGACATTCCAGGCTCTCTGGTCTCCAACTGCGCTCGGCAGTGATGTAGTTTCCCTGATATGGCATGATGCTGCCCCCACCCTCCTGGGTGAGCAGGATTCTCAGAAACCATGCAGGTCACAATGAACTGGTCCTGCACATGTGCACTTGGAAAGTCCTCGTGTAGACACCTTCCTAAGCAGCAGCTTTTTCTTTTCTTCTTCTTTTTTATATTTAAGTCAGGGTCTCACTCTATCACCCAGGCTGGAATGCCATGGCCAGTGGTGCAGTCATGACTCACCTCAGTCTTGACCTGCAGGGCTCAAGTGATCTTCCCACTCAGAGTAACCAGAATTATAGGAGTGCACTACTATGCCAAGCTAATTTTTGTCTTTTTTATAGAGACAGAGTTTCGCCATGTTGTGCAGGCTGGTCTGAAACTCCTGGGTTCAAGCACTCTCCCTCGGCCTCCCAGAGTGCTGGGATTACAGGTGTGAGCCATAGCCCCGGGCCTTTAGCAGCAGCTTTTAGTCACTTCCATCCACAGGAGACATTTTATGCCCTAGTTACCCGTTACTCTCCAACTTCAAACCAGTTTTTTTCTGTAGTCTTAGACATGTTTGAGGCCAGGCTTCCAAGAAACATGCTCCTTCCGTGTATAATTTTCTCTCCTAGAACTCTACACTGTTAGAATCGCTATGCTTCCCCCGACCCCTGCCCCTCCCTCCCCCCTTTTTTTTTTCCTGAGATGGAGTCTTGCTCTGTCACCCAAGCTAGAATGCAGTGGCGTGATCTCAGTTCACTGCAATCTCTGCCTCCTGGGTTCAAGAGATTCTCCTGCCTCAGCCTCCCAAGTAGCTGAGAATACAGGCGCCCACCACCATGCCCGGCTAGTGTTTGTATTTTTAGTACAGAAGGGGTTTTACCACGTTGGCCAGGCTGGTCTTGACTCCTGACATTAGGTGATCCACCCGCCTCAGCCTCCCAGAGTGTTGGGATTATAGACATGAGCCACCGCATCCAGCTCACCAACCCCATTTTTAAAAGAGGAATCTAGTACTCACTTTGGCAGCACATATACTAATATTGGAACAATACAGAGAAGATTAGCATGGCCCCTGTGCAAGGATGACAACAAATTTCTGAAGCAGTCCATATTTAAAAACAAAAGGAGTGAGAGGAATATAGGGGATAAAAAAGTAAGCACTTTAATTTAGGGATGTTTCCAAACCCATTCATTAATTCTGAGAAAGTAAAATGTAGCCAACCTGATGGAATTTTTATAAAAATTGGGAGCTCACTGTCAACTAAATCACATTTATTTAATCTACTATTAGACTGCCTTTTTTTCTTTAACCAGATGGAAACCATTAGCAGCAATAGTGAACAAATCTATCCAGGCTCCCAGAGGTCATTTTTAACCACCATTAACAATCTGGTTTTCACAGATTAGTAATATACGAAAGGCAACAGTCCAGTAAAAGATACACAAAAGGCAGAAGAAGCTTCTGTGCTTCTTATTTACCTAACATTTAGCCATTTTAAAAACCCTGTGTAAGTGAGGCATTCGAATCCTCTAAGCTCAAAATTGGCAGATTTTACCCGGAAGATGCAGCAAAATATCTGTTTGAAATAGATGCCGATGCAAAGTGTTAATAAAACCTCTACAAAGCTGATGAAAAGACAAGCTTTTTATTAACATCATCAGTAGATTTGCCTGTGGTTAATATAGTCTCCATTTACTAGCTGCTTGTTTAGTGGTTTCATACCAATGTAAAGCTACTAATTATGAAATAGGAAAGAAATGCATTTTACATATCACATTTTAATTTTTAAATTCAACTATCTAACTGAAACATAATATAAGATAAACAGTCCACAAAATATACTAAAGAGTCAAAAGGAATCTGGTCTATAATTTGATAAGACTATGGTTTCTAGAATTGCCTATTCAGGAATAAAGATCTCATTTAAATCATGCTTTGAGTGGTTGAGAAAGTTGTAGAATAGTAGTGTCATTAGGCCCTGCAGATAAACACAGAGATACATACATGCCTCTTTCTTCTCTTGTTCAGAGTCAATATTGTATGCCAGTATTTTTGAAATACACCTTTAAGTGGTTAACTGAGACTGCACATAATGTGCATGTATCTTCATTTCAAAATACTGTTTTTCTTGGTTTACACATTAATGATTTGTTATCAACCTTCATGTTACTCTTGTTTTAGATAATAGTGTTTTTCTAGGAATTGCATTGAGGTCTATATTTAAAATGCTTCACAGATATTTCCTCTCTATTTTCTTTTTATATGGAGAAGAAAGCCAAGGTATCAAGGTTCAAGAGTACATCTGAACCTATAGAGAGGTCATGTCCAAGATGAGAATGAGGATGTAGAAATCTAATCTGGATATTAGAGAAGATGCTTGCTACTCAGGAACTGAGGGATGCCAAGGATATTATTAGGCTCCTTCCTCTAATGGTGCATATGTTCTGAAATATTTGCATATATTTTCACAGATGTATTTACCTACACACACACACACACATTCACAAACACACACAAATGTACTCCCCACAGTCATCAAGTAAAATGCACTTGAATTGCCATTGATAATATCATGTTGAAAATTTTCCTGTCTGTCCATGGTACTGTTACAGTTCACCACTTCAGGGAGAAATTCTGTTTCCCTCTTTGCAGAAAGTTTTACCTCGGCAAAGAAATCTCCCTGTACTTCTACAAGTGCCCAGGGCCATTACATTTTGTTTTTTGCTGAGGGAACTAAATAGTAAGGAGATCTTTGATGAATTCTGGCCCACGCTGTAATTTAGAATTTACACTCCTGGGGTCCTTTTCAGAAACAACTAAGAACCCTTTATTGAGTGCTTATTGTATGTTCAACACTGTGCTAAGCAATGGCCATACCTAGCCCCTGCCCCCAAGTAACACATGGCCCACTGAGTGAGGAAGGGAAGTAAGGAGACAGCACCATGCCTGAGGCCTGTGCGAGGAACTCTGGGGACAGAGAGGAGGGATGGGGGGAAAGGGAGGGGATCCATGAAGCCTCAGAGCCCCTTTGTTTGTTCTACCAAACCTCTTCAGACAGAAATGAAAAGCTTGATTAAATTATGTGAGTCTTGAGGATAGCAGGTTGAATTTTTTAAAAATTCTGATTGCCTGAATGATTGGATTCTGGTTTATTTAGACTGGATTTGTAGACTCAATTCATCACTGTGGATAGAGACATTTTCTTAACTTGCCATCCTAGTTAGCACGTAAGCTAAATAGGAATAACGATCTAACCTTTATTCACAATATAGTTTTCTTTGGTCAAGGAAGAGCAGTGAAGAGATACCGGCAAGCAAGTAACTGTTCACAAACTAATATAAGTTAACTTATTTTGTCTAAGTTGATTTTTAATTTTTTTTTACTTTTTATTTTATTTATTTATTTTTAAATTTTGAGACAGGGTCACCCAGGCTGGAGTGCAGTAGTGCAATCACAGCTCACTACAGCCTTAATTTCCTGGGCTCAAGTGATCCTCCCACCTCAGCCTCCCAAGTTGCTGGAACTACAGGCACACACTACCACATTCAGCTGATTTTTCTATTTTTGTAGGGACAAGGTTTTGCCATGTTACCCAGGTTGGTCTTGAACTTCTGGCCTCAAGCAATCCTCCCGCCTCAGCCTCCCAATTACAGACATGAGCCACTGCACCTAGCCTTAAATTGATTTTTTTTTTTTTTTTTTTGAGACAGAGTTTCACTCTTGTTGCCCAGGCTGGAGTGCAATGGCACGATCTCAACTCACTGCAACCTCCGCCTCCCAGGTTCAAGCGATTCTTCTGCCTCAGCCTCTTGAGTAGCTGGGATTACAGGCATGCACCACCACGCCCGGCTAATTTTATATGTTAGTAGAGATGGGGTTTCTCCATGTTGGTCAGGCTGGTCTTGAACTCCTGACCTCAGGTGATCTGCCCACCTCGGCCTCCCAAAGTGCTGGGATTACAGGTGTGAGCCACCGTGCCCCGCCCAAGTTTTTTTAAAAAAAAAAAAAAAAAACTATCAATTATTAGGAAACCCCTCCAGGTTTATCAATCACAGCTCAAAGTCTCCTCCCACTTCTTTTTCTGTGTCCCAAATTTTGATGGCCCAAGAAGGCTAGGCCCCTGCCTCTAGTCTTGAGAACCTTTCTATTCATATCAAGCTTCCTCCCTTCAAGGACAAGTGGGACTCCAATCAGATTTCTACCAGAAATCTTGACTATCCAGACTCCTCTTTTGCCCATTCTAGAAATTTCCTTCCTTGTAAAGGATGGATAGCAGTAGGGGGCTGGAGAGGGAATAACTTCAAGAATCTGCTTTTCTGGAGCTGCTATCACAGGCCGGGCAGGCTCTGCTGTCCTTTTCTGCACCTCCCCTCCATGTTTCAGGAGGATTGTGTGTGAGTAAATGAGGACGACATTTGGTTATGAGGACTTCCAATTTCAGGTTATATTAAATAAACTGTTGTGCAGATACTAAAAGAAAATGTAAAGGAAAACTTACAGAACTAGCCTACACAAAACTAATAATATTTTTTCTCCTTTTTTAAAAGGTGAACACACACAAGAAACTAATTCACCTCATTCACTCAAAAAGGATGTAGAAAATATGGGGAAAGGTAAATGAAAGTTTCAATTCTGTAGAACTTCTCTTAGCTTTAAACGACTGTGGAGATAATAGGAGGATATTTTTGTCCTACACCATATTTTTAGCTTGACAAGCAACATATGAATAATATATGGACCATTGGGTGGATATAATTGAGATTAATGCATATGTATCAATCAATACATGACACTGTAATATAATACTTTAAAATAATATATTACATTGATTTATATTCATGGATTTCTGCACAAAATCTATCCTATGTCTATGCAACACTTTTTAAACTGGTAAATATTTTGTCTTATAATAATAAACTGCCATATATAACAGTTCTCTGGAGAGTTATTTGTAAAGATTAGTAAAATGACTCTTCTTTTTTTTATTAGAAGAACTTCAGAAGGTTTTATTTGAACAAATAGATTTACGGAGACGACTGGAACAAGAATTCCAGGTGTTAAAAGGAAACACGTCTTTCCCAGTATTCAGTAAGAAATCACTTTTATTTCATTGTATTTATGATAATTGATTACGTTTCTATTATTAGGCTTAAGAATGTAATTCTAAGTGTTAAGTGATTGTGCAAAACACACACAGTCTTCCCATGGTCTGCCTAAATATTCATAAATTTTAGTTTTATTTAGGCTTTGAATTGACTCACAGATAGAATTTCTTTTTTTGTTTTGTTTTGTTTTGTTTTTGAGACGGAGTCTCGCTCTGTCGCCCAGGCTGGAGTGCAGTGGCCGGATCTCAGCTCACTGCAAGCTCTGCCTCCCGGGTTTATGCCATTCTCCTGCCTCAGCCTCCCGAGTAGCTGAGACTACAGGCGCCTGCCACCACACCTGGCTAGTTTTTTGTATTTTTTTAGAGACGGGGTTTCACCGTGTTAGCCAGGATGGTCTTGATCTCCTGACCTCATGATCCGCCCGTCTTGGCCTCCCAAAGTGCTGGGATTACAGGCTTGAGCCACTGCGCCCGGCAGAATTTCTTACAAGAACTTTTTGGTATTTATGTATGGATATACGTGTATCTGTATGTGTATGTTGTGCATATTTTAAAATGTGTGTAAATATATAATTAAATATGTAAATATATTTAAATATTTAGATAGATTTAGATTATAGATTTTAAAACAAAAGAACTACTCAGGTATTTACATCCTCTAAAGTAGGGGAAACAAGAAAAAGTTAACTTTCATTCTCAGATTGTTCTGGATAGCATTCCTGATGCTTGAGATATGTATAAATATGAAAATCTAAACATTAACAGTTCAGTGTACACAATCTATTTTATTAAATGAAATTGGTATAATTTTAGTAGTTTTAGATTCCCTATCCATATTTAATGTTAAAATTCCATTCTGAACTTAGAGGCAGGAGATATTGTAGCCTAAAAACTGTTTGTTCTACTCCCAGAGTCTTGGAATTTTCTAAAACTTTATAGTAGGTGTCCAGATTTTTAAAATTCACCTGACCTGGTCTGGGTCACATCTGGACAAATACACCACAGTAGTGTTTTTCAAGCTCTCTAGAGTTTGATTTAGTCATCTTCCCCTCTCCAGAGAAAGGAAAGTGGGAAAATAGTATGCAAACTTTTTTTTTTTTCTTTTTGAGATGGAGTCTCGCTCTGTCACCCAGGCTGGAGTGCAGTGGCACAATCTCGGCTCACTGCAACCTCTGCTGCCTGGGTTCAAGCAATCCTCCTGCCTCAGCCTCCCGAGTAGCTGGGACTACAGGCACACACCACCACATCTGGCTAATTTTTGTATTTTCAGTAGAGGTAGGGTTTCACCATATTGGTCAGGCTAGTGTCGAACTCCTGAACTCAGGTGATCCGCCTGCCTCAGCCTCCCAAAGTGCTGGGATTACAGGCATAAGCCACTGTGCCTGGCCTGCAAACTTATTTTTCTAATTATATATTTAAAATTAATTTTTTCCAGAGCACTTTTTTAGAATGTCAGCATGCTTCTTGTTATTAACCCAGAAATCACAAAACTCAAGTTGGCAATTCCTGTGCCAGATGATTCCTGTAGCAGCACCTGGAAGATTTTTAAATAATTGTGATAATTCCAATAATGTCAGCCTGAAGGTCTTCATTCATTAGGGCTTCCTAAATGTAATCATTGGCACAACTGAATGACATACTTAGGTAGCATTTTTGAATAGCACCAGGTTCCTGCTAACATGTCAAACTGAATTTGACCAGAACATTTAAAAGTGAGGATTCAAAATGTAGAGGTAACTGCATGATGGAAGAGAATGCTGACCACAAGGAATGGGAGGGTCTGCAAAGTGTGTCCTCTCTGCATACTCCAAAGGAGGTTGGAGCTCATGGTACTTCAGTTGTTTTGAATTCAGAGAATACCTGCAGGGCTTTAGAATGAAACTGAAAGGAGGAGAATGGCCAATAGCTTTTGATAGCATAATTAGGAATATTGTGATACTTATAGCTTTGAGAAAAGGAGAAACGTTTAAAATATCTTTGAAACCATAAGAAACGGGTGCTTTGAAAGGATCTAGGATTCTCTAACTTTTGAAACTGTGTCTTAAGAAATACTGCACAGTTCCTTGCCCCAATGAGAGGCATTGAATGATATGTTTTTCCATATCTAACTGTTGAGTTTGCAGGTCCCTGCTTTTAGATCTAGCAGAGTGGGTCCAAGTCCCGTTGAATCCCTAACATCCCCTTCTAACTCCCTATGAAACCTCTGTAGTCATAATTCATCCCATTAATAAAAGCTAATTCATATTCATTCTAAGGAATTAAGTAATCCATAATAATTGATATTTTTCTTAGTAACTGCTCTGTAATACAACATGTTTCTGTTAAACAAAATGTTAGAATGTGACGGTACTGGCCAGTTTCAATTCAGACCTCTCATTCATCATTTTGATGTGCATTAATATGTATCCTCTGTGATTGCCACATATATGAAGTACTTCAATTAAACAGTAACAAAAAAATTTCCTCTTTTTTATCTGTAACATACTCCACTGACCAAGGAAGTGGCATGTGTGTGCCCAAGTTTAAATAATGCGTGGTTTAGATACACCACAAAGAGGCAGTCAATTTCACACGGATGAAAATAGCAAATGCACATTATGTGCTTGTTAACTAAATGTGAGGGACCGTGAGGCTAGGAGACAGATTTAGATTCACTCAGATGAAAAGGGGAAAACCGAGCTTTGCGAAGCCTCGTCGGAAAGCAACATAGAGGAATTCTCGTGAGAGTTGTGCAAAGCTTTTTACTATGAGGTGAACAGATGCTCACAGTCACCACACTTAAACTCCAGTTCACTTAGAGCACTGTGGACCTAGGCTAGGAGCTGTAGCATGTGAGAATTAAGAATCTAGGCTCAAAAATTGGCCAGACCTGAGTTCATTTTCAGGCTCTGCTACTTGCTGGTTGTATGACCTTGGAAACTGTAAAATGCGGCAGATAATTCCTGTTGCGTAGAAGAATGAGAGGACTAAATGAGAGATCTATGTGAAGTGCTGTGCACATGCTGGGCACAGGATAAGTGCAATTATGATGGTGATTATGAAACAGAAAGATGAAAAGGAGAGGAATAGCACTGAGCTCTAGAAAAGCATTTCTAAACTTGGGTCCAAATATTCGGCTTCTGGCTAGGCACAGTGGCTCACACCCGTAATCCTAGCACTTTGGGAGGCTGAGGCAGGCAGATCACTTGAGGTCAGGAGTTCGAGACCAGCCTGGCCAACATGGTGAAACCCCATCTGTACCAGAAATATAAAAAATTAACCAGGTGTGGTGGTATGCTCCTGTAATCCCAGCTAGCCAGGAGGCTGAAGCAGGAAAATCACTTGAACCCGGGAGGCAGAGGTTGCAGGGAGCCAAGATCATGCCGCTGCACTCCAGCCTGGACAACACAGCGAGACTCAGTCTCAAAAAAAAAAAAATTGGCTTATTGCCTTGGTTCTGAGGTTTAATGAGGACCACAGGAATGATCCTAAGCATGGAGAGGCTACAAATACAGATAACAGAAAGGAGGGGCAGGTAGAGGAGGAGGAGGAGGAAAAGGAGGAAGAAGGGACAGAGGGAAAAAGGAGAAGGAGGAGGAAGAGGCAGAAAAGGAGGAAGAGGGAGGAAGACGGAGGTGGAGGAAGAAACAAGTTTCCACACTGGGGGAGCAGCAGTTGGGAGGAGGAAGAGAAACAAGCAAGTCTCTGCACTTGCTGGAACGGAGGCTTCCAGAGCTGCTTTCCACTAATACTTACGCGTAGCCCTGATGGGGAAATCTGGGCAGGAGAAAGCAGATTTCTCCTGTAATGGCAGGCATTTGCCATTACAGCAGAGGCAGAGAAGCATGGCAGGTCATAGAGATGGTTCCAGGTGTGGATACTGACTGCTCTACTCACTAGCTGAGTAACCTTGGGCAAGTTCCCTGATCTCTTTTCAACAGTATAGCAATACTGCTACCTACCTCCTGGGGTTGTGGAGAGGATTAAATGAGTGAAAGGCATGAAGTGCTTAGCACAGTGACAAATGCAGAGTAATTACTATGAAATGTGAGTTGTTGCTATTATGTACAGTTTTAAAGTTTGATGCTGACATTCTTGTAGTGACTGTATAGTAAAGCAGCTAACGTAAGAAACCAGAACTTGTAAAGGTTTATTGAGCTGTCATTATAGAGGGTGGAACAGGCAGTGAAACTGTTTTGATACCAAACAATAAGTTTAATCAACAAACCGGGTAAGACACAACAGAGAGGTAGGAAGGGTATACTAAGGAAAGAGGAGAAGCTGGAATTGAGTGGGAGTAGGTGTTTGGGGAAATGGATTAGGAGGGGCTCCACTGTTATCAAGGTTACTTTGAGATGAAAATAGGATGGCTGGTCAAACATGTTTTGTAATGAATATCATGTTCAACTGGACAGAAGTAACTTATTAAAGGTGACCCCCAATGCCACCATTCCAAACTCCCCCCTCACAACTGGTCTGATCATTTTTGCAGCTGTAAATCCAGAAGTTATTTTTGCCACTGCATCGTTATATACACCTTTCCCAGCAATTGTATCTCTTCTTCCTCTCTTTTCCTCTAACACCCTATGCCTTCCTTTATTACAGCATTCATCCTTTTGCTGTAGTTTTTATTCATTTTGATTTCTTCCCACTAGCCATCTTAAAACCTCAGGGCCTAGCCCTGAGCCTGGGACCTGCTAAAGGTGGCAATGAATGGAGAAGGGACCTGCTAAAGGTGGCAATGAATGGAGAAGGGACCTGCTAAAGGCGGCAATGAATAGAGAAGGCCCTCACCAGCAGGGTGCCCTGCATCTTCACCTCCCTTCTCCACTCCAGCCCTTTCTGCCTGCTGCTCTTAGCCCTGTCTTCCTAAAACTCTAGATTTGGCACCAAATCTTCACCTCAAGAAGCCAGAATGATTTGCCCTGTTTATCATGGTATATCTAAGTTAACTCTTCTCTGACTCTCAAAACCTGCCATAATTGTATGCCCCCCACTCCACCGC